CTGTTTGCATGGTAGATCTTTCTCCATCCCTTTACTTTGAGCCTATATGTGTCATTTCATGTGGAATGAGTCTCTTAAGACAGCATATCATTGAGTTTTGCTTCTTTATCCAGCTTTCCACTCTGTGCCTTTTAATTGGGGGATTTAGCGCATTTAGTAATCAAGGTTAGTATTGATATGTATGGATTTGATCCTGTCATCATGCTTTTAGCTGGTTATTATGCAGACTTGTTTGTGTGGTTACTTTATAATGTCATTGTACTATGTACTTTGCAGTGGCCGCTAATAGTATTTCCTTTTTATGTTTAGCACCCTCTTCAGGACCTCTTGTAAGGCAGGTCTGGTGGTAACAAATTCCCTTAGCATTGGTTTTCCTGAAAAGAATCTTATTTCTCCTCTTATGAAGCTAAGTTTGGCTGGATATGAAATTCTTGTTGAAAATTCTTTTTTTTAAGAATGCTAAATATAGCCCCAATCTCTTCTGGTTTATAGGGCTTCTGCTAATGGACAAATGAGCTTCTCTTTGTAGGCAACTTTCTCCTTCTTTCTAGCTGCCTCTAACATTTTATCTTTCATTTTGACCTTGGAGAATCTGATGACTATGTGTCTTGGGGATGCTCTTCTCTATGTAGTATCTCACAGGGGTTTTCTGCATTTCCTAAATTTAAATGTTGGCCTCTCAAGCAAGGTTGAGCAAATGTTCATAGATGATATCTTGAAATATTTTTTCCCAGTTGCTTGGTTTCTCTCCTTCTCATTCAGGGATGCCAATGAGTCACAGAGTTGGTGTATTCATGTAATCCCATATTTCTCAGAAGTTTTATTCTGTCTTCCTTATTATTTATTCTTTATATTTGTCTGACTGAGTTATTCCACAGAGGCAGTTTTCAAGCTCTGAGATTCTTTCCTCAGGTTGCTTGATTCTGCTATTAATACTTGCAATTATAGTCTGAAATTCTTGAAGTGAGTTTTTTGGCTCTATGAGATCAGATTCGTTCTTTCTTATGATGGACTTTTTGTCTTTCATCTCATGTTTCATTTTATTATATGTCTTAGAATCTTTGGATTGAATTTCAACTTTCTCCTGAATGTCAGTGATTTTTGTTGCCATCCATATTCTGAATTCTATTTCTGTTATTTCAACTATTTCAGCCTGGTTAAAAATCATTCCTGGGAACCTAGTACAATTGTTTGAAGGTAAGAAGGTACTCTGGCTCTTTGCATTGCCAGAATTCTTGTGCTGGTTCTTTCTTATCTTTGTGAGCTGACGCTCCTTCAGTCTTTGAAACTGCTGTCCTCTGGATGGGTTTTGAAGTTGCTGTCCTTTGGATGGGTTTTTTTTCCCCTTTTATCTTGCTGGTGGGGAGGCCCACTGGCATCCATGTGCACATCTGCACTGGCAGCGGTGCCGACATGTTACTATATTCAGATTTTTCATGGTGCCAGAATTCTTGTGCTGGTTCATTCTTATCTGGAGACTCTGGCCTTTCTGACTTTTGTAAATATTTTAAGGTGGGTAAGATTTTCGTTTTTCCTTCTTTCCCTATAATATATATTTCGTCTTTTCCTTTCCTTTTTTCCTTGCCCCTTCCCCACCCCAGGGGTTGTAACTATACAGAATGATGGATAGGATCTTTTGGTTTTGCTTCTAGAACCCTATGCATTTCTTCTGGCAGATTTTATATTGGGCTGGGCTATTTAACCTATAAGCATCATCTCTGGGCTTGTGGCCAGGTATACTCTTGATCTTTGTTACCCAAAGTGGTGGGTATACTCTTGATCTTTGTTTACTGGCAGAAATCCTCATGTTGCCTTAGGCAATGGGCTGATTTGTGGAATGCACAATGTTCTGAGCTCCCTGCTCAACCCCAGGCGGTTAGGGGCCATGAAGCATGGGGCCTGACTGGGCAGGTTGCCTTCTTGTCTCCCAGAAGCAGGCCCCAGCACCAGTACCAAGAGAGAATCCAGTGTGCAGCTCCCAAGTGCCCAGAGGTGTGCCTACATGTGGAGCTGGGAAACCTCCTTAGTCCCAAGATCTCTGCATAGGGATGGGTAGTGGCACCAGCTGAACTTCTACCCCTGCCACCTCTCTAAGCAGCCCTCCCTGATGATTCAAGGGTCCGTTTTAATCCAGGAAAGTGGATTCTCCAAATGTCTAGAGATCTTCCTGGGTATAGAGCAGAGAGGGCTCCCCTGCACTAAGAGTTCTGAACAAGAGGTGTGGGGTAACTCAGGCTGTTACAGCAGGCAAGTCAATGCTCTGATTTCCTGGATATCTGCCTGGGAGTGTAGCAAACAGGGTCTCTGCACAAGAGGGGTGGAGCAATTGAGACAGCTGAACCATGCAAGTGAGTGCTCCAAATACCTGGAGATCTGTCTGCCTGTGGAGCACAAACAGCTTCAGTGTACCACCATCTATGTCTAGGGAGAATTGGGCAGTTCAGGCTGCTGAACCAGGCAAATGCCTGGAAATCTGTCTGCACATGGAGCAGAGAGAGCCTCACTGTACCAAAATAAGTTTATTGGGACCTAATTTGAGGAATGCAAGCCATGGTACACTTCCATGTTACCTTGGGAAGTGCTCTGGTCTACAAAAGACAGACTTGAGCTTTTAAAGAAAAAAGAATGAATTAGGAGAAGGGGTGATTACATTTTTCAGGTACTCTCATTGCTTACAGAATAACATTAATTAGTTATTGGCTATTGGCTATACATGGTTGAACTGTAGGATAGGAGTTATGGTGTTTGTGTGAGACATGTTAGATTAATTTATAGCTATGTGGGGTGTCAGTTAGTCTAGAGTCCACCTGAGAAACAGCTTCAAGAGAGGATCACTTAGCTCAGGCAGGGAAGTGGGATATGATTGCTGTCTCATTCTAATGCCTCTCTGAGCATGATGCTTTAAAGGGGACTCACATTACTCAGATAAATGGTTTATTTGTGACATGAACAGACACTTCTCAAAAGAAGACATTCATGCAGCCAACAAACATTTAAAAAGCTTAACATCATTGATCATTAGAGAAATGCAAATTAAAACCATAATGAGATACCATCTCATGCCAGTCAGAATAGCCACTATTAAAAAGTCAAGAAAAAAACAGATGCTGGCAAGGTTGCAGAGAAATAAGAACGCTTTTACACTGTTGGTGGGAATGTAAATTAGTTCAACCATTGTTGAAGATGGTGTGGTGATTCCTCAAAGATCTAGAGCCAGAAATACCATTTGACCCAGGAATCCCATTACAGAGTATATACCCAAAGGAATATAAATCATTCTATTACAAAGATACATGCACATGTATGTTCATTGCAGCACTATTCACAATAGCAAAGACATGGAATCAACCCAAATGCCCATCAATGATAGACTTGATAAAGAAAATGTGGTACATATACACTATGGAATACTATGCAGCCATAAAAAGTAATGAGATCATGTCCTTTGCAGGGACATGAATGAAGCTGGAAGCTATTATCCTCAGGAAACTAACGCAGGAACAGAAAACCAAACACTGCATGTTCCCACTTATAAGTGGGAGCTGAACAATGGGAACACATGGACACAGGGAGGAGAACAACACACACTGGGGCCTGACGGGGGTGGGGCCTGGGGCGAGAGAACATTAGTAAAAACAGCGAATGCATGCTGGGCTTAATACCTAGGTGATGGGTTGATAGGTGCAGCAAACCACCATGGCACACGTTAATGTAACAAACCTGCACATGCACCCCAGAACTAAAAATAAAAAAAAATTTTAAAAGTTTCTTACTTTCTCATTTCTCTCTTTTGATCAAAATATTTCTTTATTTAATTGTTATATACAAGATGCAGAGCCCAGGAGAGAGGACAGAGTTGTGAAGGCAATGCCTGAAGGATTGGACCCCTCCCAGAATTGCCAAGAGGCACAGCTGGGGCAGGAAGGATGGGGCCCCGGCGATGGAAACACACCTATGTCCCTAGATCTCACCATGACCACTTTTCTTGACCCTGGAATCTATGGGCTCAATACCAAAGACATAAGGCCACAGAGAAGTTAAATAAGTAATAAGGTGTCACAGAGGCAACAATTTTATGACATTAAAATATCTAGGAGAGACGGTATAAATTCAGTTTTCAATCAGATCTAACTATGAAAATCTGTCTCACCAATGGCCCATGCAAAAAAATTCTGAATTATATTTAACACTGATAATTCTGAAGGCATTTTAATTTTACTTCACCAACAATATTAAAATTAATTTTATTTACCAGAAATTACTAAAGTCATCTGAACTTTAAAAATATTTGAGCTTACTTAATTTATGATCATTCATTTATCTTTAAGTGAAGTGGGTGTCATGTAGACAATACACAAACACATACATGTACACATGTACACATAAAAATACAGACAGATACAAATAAAGATATTTAGCCTTGAGTTTACAGTTTTAGCTAAAACTCACTAATTTAAAAGGACAGTTGGATTAAATTGTGCCTCTATAAATGAAACTAGTTAAAGTTTGTCTTTCCCACATGGCCAAAACCCTTACCAAGTCTGTGGTATCCAATTTACATCTCAAAGCAGAGAGAGAATTTAAACATTTTCAAAGAGGAATTTGGGTGTGTTATTTAGAGGGAGTTTAAGAATGAATGCATGCCAAGGAAACACAAAACCATGGGAACTCACTACAGGATTTTATGAGGAAACAATCAGAAACTCTTTCAAAACAGCCAGTCAAATGCCAGAAAGTATTATATTAGGGATGAAACGCCAGTTTCCCTTTTTTTAAAACCTAGATCACTGAGCTTAGGGCCAAGCCCATTAACAAATGGGGCCAAGAAAGCATTTGCAGTTTTCAGCACCTAATATTTGAATCGTGAAAAGCAGGCACGGCTGGAGGGCAGAGCATCTAGATCTTTAAAAAGCATGGATCTCACTTTTACACTGCATCCCGGGTCCCCACAAAGAGGAAAATATCGTAGCACTGACCTGCTGAACACTTCCACAACATACCTTATTGCAAGGAGGTTCCCTGAAGCTGGTGGGAGACCCAACACCAATTAGCCTCCTCTGTGGTCAGTATTTGGGTGAGGGAGAAAGGACAAGATGGAGGAAGGTGAACAAGAAGGCACAATCTATGTTGCTTCCGGGTTCTTCCTCACCAACCTTCCCGCGGGAAAAAGCAGGCCGCTCCGGGAAGATGCAGATCAACCGAGCATGCGCCAGGTGACGTCAATCCGAAGAGATCGAAACTTACTCGGCCACGCCTATGGAGACGCCCCTATCACGCCCTTATCCCGCCCACTGCCCTCCCCCTTCCAGTACCAATGCATAAAAATCTGCTGCCTGCAGGAGCGCCCATGACTTCTTCGGCCCCTCCTACTTGTGGACCCAGAACCTGGCCTGAGAGTGTGTGCATATTTGCAATAAAAGACTGTCGCTTTCTTATATACTTTGGCCTCATATTTAATTATTTAGCTCTCCTAAATTAAGTATTAAATTAAGACAATTATTAAATTAAATTAAGACAGTCAGCTCATCCCTCAGAGGAATCTTGCCCTTGTTGATAAGCATTTCCTTAGCCTCGTGCCTGTCTCTTCTAAACACACAAAGAAACAAATAGCTTCCTGCAGGAATAACCACACCTTGCACATGCTGTCAGCTACTTCCAAAGCTGCAGCTCTCACCAGTGACTTGCCAGCCGTCACACACACCAGGGTCAAATTCTCTCTCACTAGCCACAGAGCTCAAGGAACTCAAAGTCAAAGACAGCAGAGCTTTAGATCTGAGACAAGCCTACCCATGTCTCTTAGGGAACATCACAAGGAAGACAAAAAACGTTCAAAACGGGGGTTGTGGCACCTCCTTCTAGGTTCCTCAAGGGGTCTCAGGGCTGCTAGAAGTCTCCTCTGTATTTCTTCAGATGGTATTAGAGATGGTGAAAGAAAGAAGGAGCAGAAGCGAGAAGAAATAGAACAAGTTTTAGAGGAGCCAATTTAGGAGATCCTCTTTTCCAAAAGGCCAATGAAATTTTACTTCATCCATAGCAAAAATCATGTCAATAAGAAGAGAAGTAGGTAGAGAGAGCACATATAGTTAGCAGGGGCTTAAGAAGAGAGAAATACAGTCTACTGAGAAGCTTTTACAGGGTGAACAGAGGTCTCAATATATATATCCTAAATATCAGCTTTTAATTATTAATAATTCAACTTCTCACTTTAGAGCTGTTAAAAATTGTTTTATCTGACTCTAGCTGTGCAAACAGTAAACATTCCTGTTTCTTTTCTTCTTCTTTCTGAAATTTACATTAAGAAGGAGTTTTGGGAGTGGGACATGATTGTTTATTAGAGTTCTAGGGTAATCACTATTTAAAGCTGTTTGTCTTTGAAATTTGCTTGATTGTTTACTTTCTTTTTGAGCATATGTTTTTATTAGCTGGAGAGAAGGCTAAACAAATAAACCAAAAGTTCTTATCATATTCTAAATATAAACCCAAGTTTTAAATCAAAGTTATACCTGAACAGATGACTCAAAACCAATGCACAGACCAAACCCCAAATGCCTTTTATTGATTTATCCAAGATCTCCAAAGTGGAACAAAAATATTTGCAGCCATTCAAGATCCAGATCTCTTCCAAGAACAGCTCAAAGAAAGGAGAGTTTCACTAGCCTCAAGGTAGTGCAACACAAATCTATCTGACCATATTCTCTAGGGTCTCAATTTCTTAGCTGACCACCATACACAAAGGCCAAACAGAAGATTAAGAGAGACAGTGGTGGCTGGGCACGGTGGCTCACACCTGTAATCCCAGCACCTTGAGAGGCCAAGGCGGGTGGATCACCTAAGGTCAGGAGTTCAAGACCAGCCTGGCCAACATGGTGAAATCCCATCTCTACTAAAAATACAAAAAATTAGCTGGGCGTGGTGGTATGTGCCTGTAATCCCCGCTACTTGGGAGGCTGAGGCAGGAGAATCGCTCGAACGTGGGAGGCGGAGGTTGCAGTGAGCCGAGATCACGCCACTGCTCTCCAGCCTGGGCAACAAGAGTGAAAATCTGTCTGAAAAAAAAACAAAAAACAACAAACACAAACAGACAGTGGTAGAACAGGAAATCAGAAGATGCTCATGTGGGTAGAAAGGATTAGAAATGGATACTCCTAAATGTGAAGAGTCATACAAATAATCCAAAACAAAGAATTCAAACTAATTCTTTCAAATGTTTCTTTCCTGACCTAAATTTATCCACTGAGAAAAGGAATTTGGTGGTGGGTCTAAACTTTAACTCTTTTTCAAATCCAATGTTAGTTGGAATGCTGCTTATCTAATTCCTTGGATGTTAACATTTCAAAGACATGGTTAAATTTACATCTCCAATAGACTGAGAAAGGTCTGAGGAAGGCTAGAGTGACTTTTGTAAATCTTGTAGCAAAGTTGAAGAGTCAGTTTGAGCATGTAAAGAATTTTCTGGAGGAGTTCGAGGAGAACTAGCATTTAAACTTGCTGTCAAATATCTTATCAGATTTCAATTAAGACGAACAGAAAGTAGGTCTCCCATTCCATTTAGTTACGAAAACTGGTTTTTCCAATTGTGTACACAGATACATGAATTTAAAAATTTAAAAGGACCTCCATTTTGGCCAATGTGTTTTGGGGTCACCTCAAGTCACATGAGTCCATTTACCTAGCCATTTGCAAGATGGAAAACTATATGTGATATGGTTTGGATCCATGTCCTTAAATCCATGTTGAATTGTAATCCCCACGGTTGGAGGTAGAGCCTGGTGTGAGGTGATTGGATCATGGAGGTGGAATTCTCATGAATGGCTTAGTGCCATCCCTTTTGATATCTTGGTGGTAGTGAGTTCTCCTGAGAGCTGGTTGTTTAAAAGCTTGTAGTACCTACCCCACCGCTCTTGATCCTTCTCTTGCCATGTAAGATGCCTGCCTCTGCTTTGCCTTCTGCCAAGAATAAAAGCTTCCTAAGGTCTCCCCGGAGACAAATACTGTCATGCCCTCTTCTTTTTTTTTTTTTTGTTTGCCCAGGCTGGAGTGCAAAGGTGTGATCTCAGCTCACTGCAATATGTTTCCCAGGTTCAAGCAATTCTCCTGCCTCGGCCTCCCATGTAGCTGAGATTACAGGCACAGCACCACACCATGCCCAGCTAATTCTGTATTTTTAGTAGACATGAGGTTTCACCATGTTGGTCAGGCTGGTCTCGAACTCCTGATCTCAGGTGGTCCCCCTGCCTCTGCCTCCCAAAGTGCTGGGACTACAGGCATGAGCCACCACACCCAGCTAACTAAACCTCTTTTCGTTATAAATTACCCAGTCTCAGGTATTTCTTTATGGCAGTGTGAGAACAGACTAACACAATATATATTATACACAAATGCAGCTGGTCTTCCTAAGGATGGTTGCCCCTTAAAGGAAAGCTCAGTTTTGTCCAGCAGTTTCCCTTAATTTTAGAATTTCCTTTTCAAAAGTGGCTAAGGCTAGGACAATGTATCAGGTCAAAGTGTGTTGCTTTGTGAGCATCACTCCACAAAGTGTCACCAGTGAGTCATGAATCCCTCTCTTGCATGTAACAACTGTTCATGCAATTCTGTTCGGGAGAATTGAACTCATCCTCATGTTTCTTTTGGTTGTGAACAAACAGGAATTGGTCACAAGTGAAAATACAAGTCTGAATTTCATGCAATAGAAAACAGCTACAATTTTAACAGCATGCTGTGTAATTTTAGGCCAAAAGAAATGAAACTACTTATGCAAGACTGCCAATGCTGTGACCTGGAACACCTGCTGTGAAATAGCAGCAGAAGAGACAGTTATCTTTTGTTTTATTCCTGAAACCAGAATCTCCTGCCCATAGACAGAGATCAAAACCTCCAATCTAAAAAGAGACGGTTGGAGAGAACAGCCCAAATAATGGCAAAACCTCACTAAAAAAGAAAGGGAGATCTGAATTCAGGAGGACACACCCTTTTGCACCCTGTGAAGCCTATGGAGTGTGAGGAACATACTGCGTTAATGCTGCTACCAAGCACTGAGCCCAAAAGGGAAGGCAGTGTGTTCAGGGTTGGGAGGTCACTCTGAATCCTGCTGACTATAACAGATATGTCTAACTAAAAGAAGAAACTTAGGTAAAATTAATATAAGTAGAAGGTCTATTTGGGCCAAATTTGAAGACTGTAACCCAGGAAACACCTCCAAGTCACTTTGGAGAATAAAGAACAGACTCGAGCTTTTAAGGAAAAAGGACAAACCAGGGGAGGGGATGATTACAAAAGTTTTTCTCAGGAATTCTCATTGCTTTACAAAAATAACATCGATTAGTAACCTTTATACATTATTTAACTATAGAGTATGACTTGTGGTGTCCACATATGGCATTGTTACATTATTTTGTAGCTACTTGGGGCATCAGTTAGTCTAGAGTCCACATGGCAAGCAACCTCAAGAGATGATTACTTAGCTGAAGGAGGGAAGTGGGACATGACTGCTTTCTCATTGAAAGGGGCATCGCATTCCTCGGATTAAGGTGGGTCTAAACTTTAACTCTTTTTCAAATCCAATGTTAGTTGGAATGCTGCTTATCTAATTCCTTGGATGTCCTTTCAAAACAGCCAGTCAAATGCCAGAAAGTATTATATTAGGGATGAAACGCCAGTTTCCCTTTTTTTAAAACCTAGATCACTGAGCTTAGGG